TAAAGCAAAACTTTTTGAATTTTGTTTTATACGTCACATCAGATGAAAAGATCTTCTGTGTTTGATATTAAATTATACTAATATTCTTTGCTAGTTGTACACTAGAATGAATACAAAAATTACTCCTACATGAAAACAATAACACTAATATTTGACCAAAAGATATTTTTTTATTATCAATAATCAATTAATTTCCAGTTACAGTTTGGCATCGAACGCTATTTTAACTCCTCCTTCCTTTATCATCTTGTTCTATTTTCTTTCCCACATATAACTGACCGAAAATTAACAACTTGAAATGTATTCTATTTTTGAGTATTTTTACAGTAAATAATTATATTATTTCAAATTTATCCTTATATTAATATTTTAAAAGTTAAAAAGAGAGAGAAAGGGAGAAATTAGATGTGTTATTTAAACTTATTACAACATTTCATTGTTCAATAACAGTAACATATTTAAACTAGACCTCCACTCAAACTAAGCCTGGGTAGAATAGACGCCTGACTGCAGAATTTTCATAATCCTCATATATGTTCATAGTTATTTTTTTGAATCTAATTCATCTATATTAATAAATGTAGATGGACATTGGTTGATAACGAATATCAATTGCATATCCCTTTATTAGAACATTATCATTCTTTTTATTTTGTATATATAAACCATACAAAGATTTTTCTGAACCTTCGAGACTCTTTCATGGATAAAGTTAATTTATACAAAATGATAATTAACATGTATATGCATGTAAGATGCGAGATATCAGTTATAACTATATAAGAAAATTACCAGCTGTTAATTACCATTTTTTTTTCGTTCTTGCATCTTCCACACGGAGCCAAAGAAAAATGGATTTCAGATGTGCCCTACGCACATTCTCACGAGCTTGACAATCTTTTTCTTGTGAGGTATACGTGAATCACCTCTATCTGACCTCATTCACACTCACCCACACCAAAACCAGTTTTTTTCAGTGTAGAAACTCTCAGTTACAGCTGATAGTTTGATGTAGAAAATCTTACAAGTATTTGTCTCATTGCCGTTTCGATGTGGAGAGACGAATATGACAAGTTAATCTAAGAATGATTCGAAACCTTTGACCCTCTCAGCGAATTAAGAGTGTCTATCACGAATTTATAATCTGTTAATTGATTTAAATAGGTAATTTTGTAGAAAGAATCAAACTAGTCCAATGTTATTCCTATCGTACTAATCTTCAATGACTTGTTTTATCTTACATTTCATTGAGAAGAATTTTTTTCATAACAGCTATATGTATTTTTATCCGAAAAAGTTTAATACAAAATTTGTCGTTTCAATGGAATAAGATTCATCATATTAGCTGATTATGATTTTAATTTTGTAACATTCTCTATATTCCTACAGTTATTCATATTGAGAATCTTATGTTTGAAAAGTTTTCTGTTTTGAAATTTGTTGTCTCATATCATACTCGCTTGGATATATTTTTTGACGATTTTTGCAGATTTCATTAAAATTATCTTAATGTTCTTTTTAAAATTCAATAGCAGATGTGAGATAAATGAATATTATTTCATTGAAATGATAAGTCTCCTATAAAACTCTTGTGAGAGTGAAAGACTTTTTCAAAAATGTAAGATGAAATTATTCACTCAAAATTGATAAAATACCAAAAAGCAGTGGAATATATTGATGCATGTCAAAGTATCTTCTCATTAGATAAAATTCTCTCTTTTCCTCTATGAAATCATATATTTCGATCAATTACCATTAATTTACTGATAGGAGTCGAGACTTGTCAATCGCCTTTTATTATATCCAAAAACTACATGAATGTGATAGAGAAAAAGAAATCTTTTGTAGAACTTTAAAATATCTATGACAAAACAAATAGAAGAGGCAGCTCAAACAATTTGACTCAGTCATCTATAGATAATCAGATCAAAGTGAAGGATTTTTAACTCTCCTAACTTTCTTCTCAACCGATGATTTACTTAGAAGATATCGAAATCAAATGCTATCAAAATTTGATGCTTTTTTAAGCAAAAAGTCCAAAACATTGTTATCTATATTCATCGTAGAAATACAGCACATGTAAAACAAGAAGTAAAATGTCTGATGTGTGTGATGTGTTAGAATGAACTATTAGTGTGCCAATGGCTACATCTATACTTATAATGATAGAGAATACAGAAACAGATTTGGCACTTAAATTTAATATTGATCAAAGACACTAGTTCCTTGAAAAGAGTAACAACAATCATATTCAATATGAAAAGAAAAAGGCATACATTGTCTGTAGAACCATGGAAGTTTTTATTTGATAAATGTTTTTGTTTCATCGACGAACTCATTCTTCTTAAGAAGACAACAGTTGACGAAATTAAATTTATCATACACTGGAATCATCTGAATCTACGACGAAGCAGTTGTTAAAAAAGAACCAATCTTTGATATCAGAGCATAAGTGTATTTATAAAAATCATGACTTTTCAGAAGAATTTGAACAGTTTATTCAAGATTTTTATTGATAAATTTACTAGCGATGAAAAAATTTGCACACACATACTGCTATAATTCAAATGTTTCTTTGACTAGCGAATACTTCAGTCGGAGTTAACAGACATGCTTTTGTTTTTGTTTTCAATGCATAGTTTTTAAAACAACCAATGACATAACTATTAACTACTTCTACCAGCATTCGGCAAGGTTTCAGCATCATCATCATTTTAAGGATCGTGACCTTGCAAAATCCTCTTTTTCTTTTGAATAACTTTTGGGAAATTTATATTCAAACGTAAGAAATAGTTTTTTTTGGCGAGAAATACAAGATTTTCTTAAGGTTAACTAAAGAACAGAGTGAATATTTGTGATATAAGCCAGTTTCAATTTTATTTAAATTTTCATTTATTCGGAAGAAATATATTTATTTAAGATTCGGAGACTTAACTGATAATATCTAGAGTTTCTGAATTTCGTCGATGGCGAATGTCCGCGAAAATGTGACTTCAGAGAATGACATATTGGAGAAAGTCATTTTGGCGGAAATCGAGTAACCATATATTTCAATAAGACAAAGTTAGTTAGAAAAATGCAGATGAGATTGATTGATCTATTCAAAAGAGGGAGACAATTAACCGTAACTATGGGGAAATATTTTCCTAGTTTAGACGAGTTGGCAACTACTTCCTTGTTGAAACAAAAAGCAAGCTAAATTGATAATAATCCAAAAATCGTAAAAAAGAAACATTTCTCTAGGGAAAAAAGATGAAGAATACAACGATAACTTATGTTACTTGATGAGAATTAAAGTCCCACTATAAATTCAATCATTTGACTTGCTTAAACTCAGTTTTGATCGGATTTAGAATGACTAGAATCGGTTGGAACAGAAGACAGAAATTCGAAAACAATATTTATTTTAGACTTTTTGTATTCTAACCATAATTCATATACAATAGGATGTGTGAATTTATAGATGAACTGGAAACCCACACCTTATTGCATATACTTCTGTTTAAATTAAATTTTACGAGAAAAAATTTCTTTATTTTGTTTCGTCCCATGTATGCAAATTTTACTGTGTCAACAACAAAACAGCAGTTGAAGCAGAGTTACACAAGTTAGAACACAAAATTTAAATCACAATAGTAGATTGTGAGAAAAAAGGCGCTAAAGAATAGGACCACCTTTCATATCATCAGCTCTTTCATAAGCTGCTAATCATCTCTCCTATTGTCAGTAATGAAAATAGAAAAGGATTGAGCATCATGCTAATCATTGGCGCAACGATTTCTCCCATAAACTGATATTTGTAATTTTGGGAAAGTGAATAAGTAAGTGTAAATATCTTTGAAGTATTTTATCTTGTAAGATCAGCTGAAATCATACTAGAATGGTGATCTACGAAATTTTACATTAAGCTACACTGTAGGATTCTTGTAAGGTCTTATCGCCTGCTTGTTGAACCTGGGTATGTGTGCGAGTCTTTTAGTATCTTTACAATGTAATAGGAACGTAACGCGACCATTTTTTTAAAGCACCTTCTATAGTTAGAATCCAATTTTAACGTGTAATAGCAGTTTCTTTCGTTATTTATAATCTTTTTTTTTAAGTGATTTGTTGTGATGTTTGGATCGTTGAGCTTTAACTTACAAAAGTTGTTTATAGTTTCCATAAATAAATCCTCAAAATTTAAAATCTAAAATAACTTTATAGGACAATGTCACGCCTGTCAGGAACCGAGCTGAACTCGAACTCGTAGAAGACGGTTCGATTCGGGTGTGGGTGTGGGTGGGTGTGGGTGTGGGTATGCGTGTGTATAGTAGTTAAAACATACACACCCACACCCCGCACCCACACCCTAAATAAATACACAGTTAATTTTATCAGCAAACAAATTAATAAATTAATTCATTAGTTAATAAATAGCAAATGAATAAATATTTAGTTCGATAATCATTTAGCTAATACGTAAAATAATATATGAATAAATATACATTCTCATGAATGTAGAAGTATTTCACATAAAGAGAAGAAGTATCTATATGGTTATATAGATAAGCTATCACACCCACACCCACACCAACACTCCACCCACATCCACACCCTCACACCCCACACCCCCCACACCTCCACAGCCACCGCCACACCCCACACCCACACACCGCCACCCACATCCACTCACATCTACACCCATTATTTTTTTAAACAGGAAGTATTCTCTAAAGACTCTTCCAAAAGTTCGTGATATGGCTACACAATTTGCCATAAACATTGTAAGGAAAATATATGATTTGAATGATTCTGAAATGATGAAAAGAATATTAGATTTGTTAATTGACATTTTATCTACTTCCTTGGTATCACCATCGAAGGGCGAGTTCGAAACAGTTTCGAGAAACAAAAACATTTCGATGAAGATTATTTCTCTATTGGAATAAAAAAGTTAACAATACGAAAAAGACAAAAATGTTTGTGTATTTTTGGTTCATGCACTTGTATAAATTCTATTTCTACGGACTACGAATATATCGACAGGTTCCACCAAGAGCATCAATTATAGATCCTCCTTTGCATTTACCTAAATCACAATACCACAATGAATATTTTATGATATTCTTCTAACATTTGATTAAACAGTATTATAAACAGACATGACTAAGTTCAAAGCGATTGTAACCTGGTAGAAATGGAAAAGTTTCGTTTTATTAAGCTCATCAGAAAAGAACTTTTTCAGGCTTGCAATTGAGAAAGTATCCAGATGATTAAAACCTTTTGAGTCCTCTCTTGCCAGTGGCATGGAGCTGATAGACTAGGACAGATCTCAAAAGATTCATGCTCCAATTAAAATTTCATAAAGGTACGGTCAGATTGTCAAGTTATAAGTGTTCTAAGCAATTTTCACTGTGTTCTTCTTCTCCACATATTTTTGAAAAACGTTTCTATAGGCTGAAAATTTGATCTTAGTTGTCTAACATGGGCCTTGATTTCCCTGAAAACTTGAAATTCTTGTCACTCGTCAATGCTGAAATATCGCATTTCAATAGAAATTTTCTCCTTCTTTTGGATAGTACCTGCTATGTCATCCAGAACTAAATATTCAATGTACCTACTGCATATCTTTGTTGAAGAAATTTAACAATTCAGTACCTCAGTCGAATTTCAATATGAGCACAAACTCTTTGAAGATTCTTGTAATCATTGACTCCCTACTATTGGACAAAATATAGGCTTAGAACTCTTAATCATCTATGGATCGTCTCTAACAAGAAGAATTTCTTGTCAATACGTTCGCCAAAATAGATCCTTGCAATGATCTGCTAATACAAGTTCTGTTCTGCTCAGCAGAGACCACTTACCGCAACCTAAACATCCACAACTCATATCACAGCCCATCGTTCCTGTCGAAAAATAGCTTTGCCCGCCCCATTTTGCTTGTGGTTGAGCTGTCGAAAATGATACTTGTTGTTCTTGGTCTTCTGGTTGAGTTGAATATTTTGCATTAATACTTGCTGCTTCAGCTTGTGTAACCATTACAATAATTAGCACAATAAACCATGTTTGCGAAACTATTGCGGTTGTATTTCAATGAAACGTATGAAGAAAGATAGAATCTACTGACTTACATACTTTTTCACTTCCGAGTATTTTTTTTTATGTATTTATTTTATATAATAACGCAAGAAATATTTTCTGCTTAGTCGATCAAAAAATATACGGAGTATATAATCGTTTTTTGGTCATGATATTTTACTTCTATTTTTCAAGTAGGTTCGATTTTAATATTCAATTTCACGATATACTCTTTATTCACAAAGCATGATATAAAAATATCGTTTTGCCCTTTGTTGGTCGAAATAAGTAAACGTAGTATATATTTGTTCACTAGTCATGATATTTTAGTTCCGTTTATCCAGTAGACTCGATTTTCGTGCGCAATTGTATGATATACTACGTAGTATGTCTATTAATATAGATGTAGAGAGAGGTATAAAAAGACCCATGATCGCTAATAAAATCAATCATAATTATTGAAACACATTCAACCACTAACAAACACAGAAAGCCATGTCCTCAACATTAGAAATGCTAGTTTTAGTCATTGCTCTCGTTCTTGGAGTTGCGACGGCTACAGGTAAGATCAAAATATTCCAATGAGTTTTAAAGTTTGTCGTCGACTTAACCTAGATTCAACACAAGGACCACAAGTTCAAAGCCGCCAATCAGGTGAATGGATCTTTGGTTGCGATCAACAAATGGACATTGCCGGTGGCGGTATGCGCCAATCGCGAACAGATTGGAGTCCTCCGTGCACTGCTTACGCCAAAGGACCGATTGCTTCGACAAAAGTTGATCAAATCGGATATTTTGGCAAATGCACACATAATGTACAGATCAATAATAACAACAGTCCACCATATGTCACCCTGAGCGTTGGTGCAACACGAGGTGGGTGGTTTGGACCAGGTGCATCGTGCAAATATGCCGTTTCATATAAATTGATTTAAGATTACTGTGCCGATGAAACGATGGTCAGAGATACATCACACTAAACTAAGTCTTACTTTTTTAATGTGACCTCACTTTTCCAATGTACTCAATAAACATATATCAGAGCCCAAAACCGAACTGAATTGTCGAATAATTTGACCCTAGGGGTGTCGTGTTAGCATTAGTATTGAGATAATGCTAATGCTTGTGCATTAGCATTAACTATTAACGCTAATGCAAAAGCATTATTGGCATTAGAATTAATTAATGAATGCTTTGGTATTAGCATTAAATTAGCATTATTTGAATGCTAATCCATATATCCCCTGCAACTTTTGAGATGCTATCTGGGCATGCTGCCTGTAACTCTTCAAGGTTTACTTGGACCTATTACCTGTAGCTTTTCAAGGGCTACCTGGACATGATAACTGTAGTTTTTCAAGAACTAACTGAATATGCCATAAGTGTGGGTGTGTTGAATGTAGGTGTGGGTCTGAATCTGGGTGGGGGTGACTGTCAGTGTCAGTGATGATAAAGCCCACATCAACAAACCCATACCTACGTCGACACGAAAAAAGGTGAAATTCTGCTAATAAGCCTGAATTTTCTCTTTCAGAACTTAGCTTCTGCTTAATGAAAATATAATATTCACAATCAGCAACGAAATTTAAGTTAATCAATATGCATCTCGGTTTTTTCGCACTTATTCGTTCGTTTTTGAATTTGTGTGTTGGCTGTGTATAGAATTGAATTTTGTTAGAAACCAAGTACCTTAAGACGCGTTTCGGCCTTACTCAAGCGCCAATCTTCAGATAAGTTCAGAATCTCAATAACTGCATGACGGTCAAATTTTTCAAAAGAGTAAAAGTTTTAATAGAAGTCGAATGAAATTCAGCTTCCAACCAACTTTCAACAATGTGGGTGGGGGTGTGTGTGGGTGGCTGGTGTGGGTGGGTGTTGGGTGTGGGTGAAGATTCAATTCATCTTGCCACTTCTCACACCCCCACCGCACTCCCACACACACACCCACACCCACAAACTTGATCATTTGATATTATTACAGAAGTATTTGATTATTGTAATGAATGATGAATTTTATATATCCATTGACAAGAAGAATTAATCCATTTAAGTAAATAATGTATTGACCATTGACATGGTAAAAATGAATTGTGATCAATAAAACCTTGAAATCAAAAAGTAGCTAATAACTAACTTAATGTAATAAAATCGACTTATTCATTCAAATTCGAAAAAAACTACCTAGTTAATATCTCTACAAAATACATACTTAGCAAAAGTCGAAGCAGTTGCTTGACAAACACGTATATCAGGGTACTGTTGTTTTAATTGTTGTTGTTGTTCAAGATAAGTTTTAATATTCGAAAATCAATGTCATCTATAAATTGAGCTAGAGCAAACTATTTTATATACATACAAAAAAAAAGTTATTATAATCATAAATTTCTTTTATCTACTTTAGCAAGAATACAGGAACTTGTACTATGTTGAATAGAATCTTCTAATAATTCAATTCTTATGATTGTAAATGCATGACTATTAATTAATAAAAAAGGTAATAATGTTCGTAAAGCATTTAGTGAAACATGTATAACACGTGCATTATTATCATTTAGCCATATAACCTTGAACTATCTTGTGAATCAGTTGATAGAAGTGAACGTTGATTAATAAAAGAACTATGAAATGAATTTGATAATAATGATAGTGTTAAAAGATGAATTGTTGTTTGAATTAATGTAACAAGTAAATTTGTACATGCACCACGTAAATGTAGATCACCGTGTTCACATAAAGATAAAAGATATGTAATATCTTAAAGAAAAAAAAAAGGATACCTTGATGTTCGATAGATTTTAATGTATTACAAATCACATAGAGATGAGAATTTCATTTTTTCTCATTAGAGAATTCTATTTCAATTACAAAAATTTTATTTAATCAGAAATCTTCAAAGACTAATGAAAAATTCCTTAGAGGATACAATTGATTTCATATCTCGAACTTCTGCTTAGTACTTTTTTGAGGTAGTTATGTGATTGTATAATTTCAATCTCTGGTGTATAAATGCAGGCTTTGAGCTTCAATAAAATGTTCTACTTGATATCTTTTCGAGTCTGATAATGTTCTAGTCTTTTTTTGATTTCAAAAAAATTAAAAGTAGGAATAGGACTAGAGCTGCTGAATCAATATTGAGAAATCTCCATTCTTGAATTTTCAGATTCCAATATATATATATGTTTCAAGAATTTAATAGTGAAATTGTCATATCTATCAGATAACTTTCACTAAAACTTTGAGACCTTAACCAATTGAAGCCACGTCAACTCAACTCTGCCACAATCCCCTTCACCTAGGCCCTCCTACTGTTACGACAGGGTGTGGGTGTGGGTGTGGGTGTGGGTGTGGGTGTGGGTGTGGGTGTGGGTGTGGGTGGGTGTGGGTGTGGGTGTGGGTGTGGGTGTGGGTGTTAGGGCTGTACCGCTCACGCTCATGAGCGCTCATATGAGCGTGAGCGTTTTTTCGCTGACGCTCATGCTCACGTGAGGAGTGGTCGCTCACGTTCATATGAGCGCACATGAGCGTGAGCGGTACAGCCCTACTCATATGAGCGTGAGCGACCATCCCTCACGTGAGCATGAGCGTGAGCGAAAAAGCGCTCACGCCCATACGAGCGCTCATGAGCGTGAGAGGTACAGCCCTAACACCCACACCCACATCCCACATCCCACACCCACACCCACCCACACCCACGGCCACACCCACATCCACACCCATACCCACACACCCACGCTCACACCCGCACACCCACCACACACCCACACCCACACCCACACACCCACATCCGCCCCGCACCCACACCCACACCCACCCACACCGACACCCCACACCCACACTCACACACACCCACACCGATACCCCACACCCCACACCCATCCACACCCACACCCACACCCACACCCACACCAACACACCCACACCTACACCCACACCCACACCCAAACCCAGACCAACACCCACCCACACCCA